AAGGAGGGAGAGAGTGGACAGAGGGAGAGACTGAGAAGGGAGAGAGAAGCCATAGCCGAGGAGAGGAAGATAGAGAGACGATAAAAAAAAAAAAAAAAAAAAAAAAAAAAAGAAGAAGAAAGGAGACAGCCGGGGTGAAAGGAGGCGAGGAAGGTGAAGGGAAGAAGAAGGTTGGTGAGAGAAAGTGAAGCTGGCAGCCATAGCCGACCGGAGGAGTTGATCGGGAGAGTTGACCAGGCGTTGACCAGGCGTTGACCGGACGTTGACTGGGGTTGACCAGGAGTTGACCGGAGGTGTTGACCGGCGTTGACCGGCGCTGACCGGGGGTTGACCAAGGATTGACCGTAGCATTGACCGGCGTTGACTGAACTGTTGATCACGAGTTTGACCAAGTTGGAGCCAGTATAATCTCGCCAAGCCTTCAACCTATCCCTCGCCCTATGGATGTGCACTCACCCTGTGGTACTTGCTGAGTCCAGTCTGTCTGTCTCTTCTTTCTGCATCGAGTCTCTTCTGTCCAGGTGATAATACTCTGTGGATGAAGGATAGGCCTTGTTGACCAAACCCCTGCCGGACTAAGTAGGGCTAAAGACTGTGTCTGACGACTCGACTGTCCCGGAGGCCTAACCCTCCCAAGGACCGGTACAGACCGGCGGGCTGCTCGGTGTGGCACAGTAGGCCCGAAAGGCTGAGTTGTGGGCTGCGCAACAGGCAGTCTAAGTGTTGAGGGACCTGCTGATCGCGTCGTCCTGTTTGCGACGTTAAATAATTCCTGAGGAGTTACGGGGGATCTCCTTAAATGCCTCCTGATCAGCAACACGTCTAGTAGTGACAGCCTTAGAGTAGGTATAGGCTAGAGACCCTAGTTGACAGGATCCCTGTGCGGATTCTGTGAGTCTTAGATTGAGTCAGTCAGGGGTTAGAGTCTAAGTGGTGAGGTTTGCAACCGCTAATCCGGTTGTGCACTACTCACCATGGTTGACACGCGTAGTGGGAAAAGCACTAGCCCCTACACGCAAGAGCAACAAGAGAAGATGGTCGCCTTAGTAAGAGAGAATAAAGAGAGAAAAGAGCTCCTGAAGCAGGCGATACTAAAAGCGATCGCAGAGGAGCACGCGGCGAAGATGAAGAAACTGGAGGAGATGGAGGAGAAGAAGAAGGCTGCCGAGGTAGAAGCAGCAACAGAAGCAGAAGAGGAGAGAAAACGCACGGAAGAAAAAGGGGAGAGTAGTGGCACGACGAAGGAGGACGCGGCGATGGAGAAGAAGATTAGTGAGTGGATTGCTAACTTATCATTGGGGGAAGATGAGGAGGCACAGTTCTATGTGCCACAGGGTTAGAGGGACGCGTTAGCCAGCGCGCTAGCAACAATCGAGGACCCCTTGGAACGGCAAGAAGCAGAGGAGGAGAAGAAGTTGGAGTGGAAATTGAGGATGAAGAGGGAAAAGAAGAGGAGGGAGGAAGTTAATAGGTTGACCGAGGAGGTGGCAAAGGTGAGAGATTGTAGACAAGAGGTACAGGCGCAGGCAGATATTTCTGCCAAAATGGATAAGATGCTGGGGTACTTGGAAGTGTTGAGTGCGGCCTGGATGGAGGAGCGCCAAGCCAACTGGGGTCACGATGTGGCCCTGAGTGCCATGCGGTCAGGGTTTCAAGACTTTGCGCACGATATGGTCACCCACGTTGGAGGCGAAGTCAGGCGATTGAAAGACGACGTGGGGAAGTTTTGTGAGGGCGCCATCGAGGTTGCCAAAGCAGTAGCCGCTGTCGAGAGTGAGGCCAGGCCTCGTAAAGAACACAATAAGCTTAAATTCCCAGATGCATACGACGGGAAGGAGGAGAATTGTGATAACTGGGAGGCCAGCGTACATAGTTATGTGTACTTACAGAACATCTTGGCTGAGGAGCAAGTCCTCGTTGCTTTCCAGGCCCTCAAAGATGAAGCGGTCAATTTTGCCAGGTCCCTTGCGCGCGCAGCCGGTTGTGAAAACAACCTGGTTGCATACTCTAAGGTTACCCCCCTTCCTCAATTCTTCAAACCCCTGAGGGAGAGATTTGTTGACCCCACGAGAGACTTTAGGGCCTCTGACAAGTTACAGACCATCCACTCACGACAATGGAGGAGTGCAAGAGCACTCAAGGGGGTCATGGACGACTTGGTAGTCGTCCCGGATCATGGGGTCACTGAGACCCAACTGGTCCAATTGTTTTATCGTGCCATGCCAGAGCCCTTGAAAAGGCATTTCTTTGACAAATCTCAGCAGGCCGACATCACCTATGATGTGCTGAGTAGAGAGGTGGTCCTGTTCGAGTCAAAGTCCATGCCAGTTTCCACTTTCTGGCATAAGGACTTGGATAAGGGAAAAAAGTGGAAAGGCCGTACCATCTCTGGCCAAGTCAGGGCTAAGGATCACATGATCCTTACTTTAGAGGAGGGTCGTACAGATGAAGTCTCCTACAGTGAGATTGAGTGGCGGCTAGAGGAGGAGGACAGCAGCGTAGGGCAGGGGAGGTCCTATGTGGCTGTCGCGGCTAGAGGGAGGCCGCACGGTAGAGGAGGAAGCCAGGGCCAAAGGGGCCAGGCTACGGGAGGCCGAGGATCGGGCGCCCAAGGGATTGGCGGACAAGGGAACCGCCAAGTGGGAGGTAGGGGTCAAGGTCCCCCGCTGAATCGCCAGGGTTCTAGTCGGTCCCCGCAACGACGAGGTGGAAGGCCACCTCAACAGACAGGAGGATGGCACCCAGGCTTACCACAGGGCAGGCCATGGGAAGATTTGGGCTTGGACCAGCGCGTATGGCAGGAACGTGTAGACCTGGGTCGGTGCGTGTTTTGTGGTGACCCGGCCCACGTTATTAAATTTTGTCCTAAGTACAGACAGGCCCGATGGGCTAACCAGTAGTAAAAAAGGCAGCCGCCAGTAGGGGTTGCAACTGCCCCTACTCCAAGGCCATGTGGGGAAGTGAGCACGCGCGAACAGGAAACTCCCAAACCACATGAGCCTATGGCAGAGGTTGCAGGCCCGTGCCTAGCTAGCTGTCCGGAGACTGCTTGTGTTAGTGTCTCTCTAGGCACGTCCCTCACAGGCGTGGCAAAAGAGTTGAAGGAGAGAATGCCTGCCTGGGCCAAAATGAAGAAAGAGAATAAAGGACAACTGATCTTAGTTGATGTAGAGGTTTTCAGGAATAAAGTAGGGGCCCTTGTAGATTCAGGGGCTACCCGTAGTTACATTAGCCGTAGAGCGTTGTCGAGCGCATCGGTCCCGCACCACACAAGGCAGCGAGGGACCCTCCCGGCCGCGTCACGCAGGAGTTGGTCTAAATCCTCGTCATGAATATACATGGAGATTCTGCAAGCCACTCCAGCCGAGTGCACCAACCATACGACAGGATAGGGCCTACGAGAGGCACAACTTACCTCCACCTTGCGGGAGCTGTCACCTCCCTTCGGTGGCCGTATCCCCGCCGAGCTACCAGTCCACAGTACGAAAGCTACTCGGTTGCAATCGCAGAGGTGGACCAGCCGAGGGCGTTTCCCGTTCGTCGTAGCATAGGGGGTACGCGCGGTAATACACCTATCGGACCCGCATGCGAACCGACATCTTGGGGGGGCTGAAGTCCCAGGCGCGGCTCGACGCCGGTCGACTAGGTCGCATCCCACACACCACGCGCACACTATTCTAACAGACACAAACAACGACACACACACGTACACACAAAACGACACAACACAAACTACGCGACAATGCTCCTAGCCCCTTGGTAACCATCCCATAACTCTTCAATGCGGAAGTCGGGTAGGCGTCGTGCGCGAGACTCGATATAAAACCACGCGGACGCAGGGCTACTCACATCGACTCGTAATGCAACCGTACGCAAGCGGTCGCAACGATGGTGTACTATGTAGTACCCATACTCGCGTGGCCCTTATTAATCTTGAGGGTCGCGTTCGACACTCAAGTGTCGGCTGACACGCGCCTAGAGGGTTAATCTCTCGCCGCCGGACAACCGCCATGTGCGGTTGGAGATCACACCCTCTTCTGCACCCTGTGCAGAGGGGTTGAGTAGACAGCTTTAAGCTGTCGTGGCGGTCAAACATCAAGGGGTTTGACTTTGACGGCTGCCACGGACTATAACGTCCAGCCATGAAAGCTCAAAAAGGAAAACTCAGTCCAACTCTCATTAGTTTAGTGGCCTCCTAGAATGGAAGGGGTAGACAGGCCCAAACGACGCGCGCACGGAGGAGGCTTGGTATCCTACCCATAGGCTACCCGATGTCCGGGACAGTGAGGCCCGTACACGGACTCCCATAGGCCGACTGGGACTAGTCCTTCGCCCACGTGCCGCTTCGCGATACCAAAACCCCGAGTCTATTGACCGTGTCGCACTCGTGGTCTCGCCGCCTAGCCCATAACTTTTTAGTGCGAGAATCGGCGCGTGCTGCGCGTGCGGACTTAATATAAGATCGCTCGAACGTAGGATCCATGCATACCAGTTCACTATGCAGCTCTACGTGAGTAACTGTGATGACTGCGCATTATGTGGTGCCCATACCCAAATGGCCTATTCTGAGCCATGCGGTTGCTTCCGATGCTCAGGCGTCGGCTGAAGTGCGCGCTACGGGGGGGTAACCCTTTTGCGGGCGCAAAACCGGCCTGAGGGCTTTACCGCCTTCTGCACCCTGAGGTGTCCCAAAGGGTGCGGGGTAAGACGGTCCCTAGGGCAGGAAGGGATTTGGAGCAGTGGTGAGTTGTCTGGCGCATCACCAGTGACACGCTAACCCTTCCGCTCGGAACTTTATCGTTCCACCAAAATAAATCCCAACAAGGACATACCTTCGACTTTTATTGGAAGTGAACCTTTTCAGAGTTAGTCCTGGGACCTGGGTCGTCCTGGGCGACGACCATCGTATTCTAAGCTCAGGGCTAACGTCCGACCACAATTTCTTCAGAAGCATATATATAAATAGAGGGGTCATTCCCTCCCTTCTATTCATTCCAACCCTGGATGAGGTCCTTAGTACGCAGCCCTTCACGCTAACACCCCACACAGGTACACGTACATGCGTACATATATGTATATATATATGTATATAAAGGAATAAACATGTGACGATCACATCTCACAATCACAGTGGGCCTTCTCATGCACATATATAAGATCGCAGGGCAGTCCAATCCAATAATCCAAGTCACGGAACATACCTGCAATCACATCAAAGAGTCAAGCACAAGTCCATACACTACACAGAGTCAACTCCAACCAATCTCTATGCTCATACCCTTTGCCTCAGCAATGCAAGCCCCAACCTCCAGTCAACCAACCTTAAGTAAATACTCAGTACCTTTGTTAAATGACCATTCAATAGAAGTTCGGGTGAAACCTTAACAAAACAGAGAGATCACCAGGGCTGAAGCCTCTTTAGGTTGAGTAAGGAGAGTGGGTTGAGGTTGAGTCGTAAACCGACGAGTCGGCAACCGACCTGTTATTTGTGATAACAGAAGGTGATCCTTGCAGGATCAAAGCTGAATCTAGCCCCAAGTCCTGAATTAATCGATTAAGGAGACCTGTAACTCAAGACAGGCCAATCTCAAGCTAAGTCTATGAGCTCATGGATGATAATCTCCATAACACGATCTTACCCAAGTCACCACACTAGGTCTAAGTTTTATCTCTAGCCAGCGCCCAAGCAAAGGTAGCCTATGACACTGTCCCTCCTACGTACGTCGCCACCTGTCCACATACAAGCTAGTTCCTCCAATTTAGGAAAATTACGGCAACGCTTCCCGTAGGAAAGGTGACATCGCAAAAAATATACTAGTCCAAAAAGTCAAACTTTGGATCCCAAAAAGTCAAAAGTTGTCTAACTCCCTGACCTAGCAAAACTTTGGGTCGCATTTCCTTCAGAGAGGAAGGCCCTCCCCATATCTATATTAAGTTAGACTTGAACTTAGACATAAAGTCTAAGTCCTGTCACGACAAAATCTCAACCAACTTCTTAGCTTTGTAGAAATTTCGGCAGCGCTTCCCGTAGGGAAAGTGCTAGTCCAAGATTTATACAAGGCCAAGTTTGGGACCTGACAACGACTTTGACCCTTCAGGGCCCAATTTTGGCTAACTTCCTGAATTAGTAAAAATTTGGGCAGCACCTCCTTTAGAAAAGGAGGCTCCCCAGATTCTTACTAAGTCAACGAAGTCATCAAGACCGGATCCTGAAAAAGTCAAAGTTTTGACTAACTCCTTGATTTTGTAAAAATTTCGACAGCGCTTCCCGTAGAAAAAGTGGCTTACCAAGATTTATACAAGACCAAGTACGAATCAAAAGATCCCAGAAAATGCAGAAATTGATCTAAGTAAAAAAAACGAGCCCACAAAATGCAGGAAATGACTCTAACTCCTATGGCTCTAGCACGTGGCGAGCAACTACAACAACTACCTATCAAATCCAAACTTAGACTAAGAAGTGGCATCACTTAGTCACATGCAGGCCAAACCACATACATGCATTCTATCACCACCCCCAAGTTACCTTAGCAACCAATAGTTCGTAGTCTTTCAATGATTTATCCCTTATACCCAGCTTACCTAGGCCATAAGGCTAGACCACCCAAACTTATGGAACATGTCTAGCCCAGCCAAGAAGTATACACAAACACAGGGCACAACAACTTTTCTCTTCTTTGGACATACGACTAGGCCATCCTAGTCGCCCTGAACTGTTTAAGTATCCAAGGTTTATATAATTGTCTGTACTTAGTCTTTTGAGGTAGCATATAGCTGAGCCGATCATCTTCAGCTCAAAACTCAACCTGCCCCTTCGTACCACAAGTTTATTCCTAGTTAAGTACTCTCTTCAGTTAGTGATAAGCTATAGTCAGGCCACCCAAACTTACGGAACCCTGCCTGACTAGCCTGTTCATAGATAGTATAATAGTAAAGTATATCTAAGTTATAGCCTTCCAGTTCTAGCATGTGCGAGGCGTTGGACCAAGACCACCCAAACTTATGGAACATGTCTTGGTCTTCAGCCTGGTTAATTTCTCTTGGACCAAAGCAGGAAAAGGTAGAGCCACCCAAACTTATGGAATATGCTCACCTCCTCATTCAGAAACCAAAGAAACCGTCAAAAAACCCTAAGTAAACAAGGCCGCCAGACTACCCAAACTTATGGATTTGACTGGCTCCTGAAAAAACAATCACATTCAGCCCTCACAAGTCAGAGCAACCAGACCACCCAAACTTATGGGACATGTCTAGTTCACAAAGCTATACAAAGTAAACATAGCATTGGGTCTTCCCAAACTTATGGAACTGGCCCAGCCTTTTGTTGACTCGGTCAAACTTCATGCAATACTGTCTTTCTCCCACCCTTCCCCCAGATGCAATCCCACAATCTGCTTTCAATCAATCAAAGAAGTTGAAACTTAACTTTATACATGCATTCTTTTACTTTGTCTGGTTATATCCTGAACAGACAGCAAGATTTATAGGGACAGCCAGACATACATCAATCAGCCATAGGGGGGATATGCAAACATGGGTGTAGTGGGAGTATACAGACAGAAAGAAGTTACCTGATGGTTCCCTGCCTCCAGAACCTCGCCTAGGTTCCGGCAGAGTTCCCGCAATCGGTGGGAGGACTCCCCACAAAGTCTTGACGCGGACCTACGGGTTGCAATCCCACCTGCCGCCTTCCCCTCGTAACCAATTGACTAGACTTGGAATGAGAAAGGCAGATAGAGAAAATATAGAGACTCTCAGAGGGGTGTACTCACACTTGCGTGAGGGGGCCTTGTCATCTTGGTCCGCTTGAGGGCCCCGCAATGGCAGCCAGCTGACAGCTTGGTTAACGAAGTCAAACTGTCGAAGTAACCTCCTCTGACGAGCCTCCAACTAGCGCCCCAAGCTCCCTCCCTAAGTCCAACTATAGTTGCCCAGTACCCTGTCTTGGTCCTTATGCGCAGCAGCAGTAGTACTCCATGGCGGATTAGCAGCGATGGCAGCACTCACCAACAGTCACCAGCAGTATGCAACAGTGCACACTGTTGGCCAGCAGCAAGGCAGCAACCTGCAACAACGATCCCAACGACAGCAGTTGTTGCCAGTAGCAGCAGTTCGTGCTTGGATGCCGCAGACAGTAGTAGTTGTAGCCAGCGGCAGCAGTAGTCCGCACATAGCCCCCATGCGCAGCAGCGGTACACCGCGGCGGCCAGCAGCAAGGCAACAGCCAACAGCAGCCACCGTCCGCACACCTCCAACAGCAGCCCGTATCGGTAGCCCATGCACAGTGCACTAACGCAATTGCAGCCATTTGCCCCAGCCTGCAGCACCCAACAGTTCGTGGCTGCTCGCAACAACTATCCCCAATCAACAGATGCCGCAACAGTTTCCCTCGGCCTGCAGCCTGTGCACAGATAATGACGCAACCATAGTTGGTGCGAAGTTGTGCGCGGTAATCAACAGTGGGCGGTAGTAGCGGCCTGCGTGCAGCATGTCATCGCAGTAACTACCACAGCGACAACTTGGTAAGGGCACGACAGTATCCGCAGTGCTAATCCGCACCGCGCCCCCAACAGTCGCGCGTAATCTCAAATTACCGTAGCGCAGTTCGTTAGTGTAGTACAATTCTAGGCCGTGTCCAGCCTTTCACAGCTTACTGTCTCCCCTCGCTCGCCCACTTGCTACAGTCCTTGTCAGCTCAGCCCCCTGAATTCTGAACTTGCCACTCTTTCCTGTACAAAGCCACGAAAGCCCAGTGATCAGCAATGCCCCGGTCACACAGGGGTAGCGATATCCCAAAATGTAGTCGACCGCTGTGTGAACAAGGTATGTGGCATATGCCCACCTCTCGTCTTTCACCTCTCTCTCTCTCTCTCTCTCTCTCTCTCTCTCTCTCTCTCTCTCTCTCTCTCTCTCTCTCTCTCTCTCTCTCTCTCTCTCTCTCTCT